CCTCCATGGATGTTATTACTCATTACTTCCTGAGACTCCTTGTAATGGTCCCTCCATGGATGTTATTACTCATTACTTCCTGAGACTCCTTGTAGTGGTCCCTCCATGGATGTTATTACTCATTACTTCCTGAGACTCCTTGTAGTGGTCCCTCCATGTATGTTATTACTCATTACTTCCTGAGACTCCTTGTAGTGGTCCCTCCATGGATGTTATTACTCATTACTTCCTGAGACTCCTTGTAGTGGTCCCTCCATGTATGTTATTACTCATTACTTCCTGAGACTCCTTGTAGTGGTCCCTCCATGTATGTTATTACTCATTACTTCCTGAGACTCCTTGTAGTGGTCCCTCCATGGATGTTATTACTCCCACTTTGTATCTAACTGCATTCCTATAGCATTCAATTTCATTATTTACTTCTCTCCTAATATTATTCCTAATGCTAGACACACACATACCAGAGTTACATTCTACATTCTCCTTCAGGATACTCTTCTTGGCTAACATATCAACTTTATCATGAAGGAGTAATCCAGTGACTGATGGGATCCATATAATTGTATATTATATCCTTTTTTCGGGATTTTTTGAGTATCTATACCTGGCTTCTCTAATGAGCATGTTGTTAGAGTCATCATGTAGGCCAACAGCCTTGAGTGATGACACAGAATCAGTAATGATGATAGAGTCAGGCTCAGTGTCATAAGTTAGCTTTAGAGCCATTAGGATTACGAACAATGAGTTTGCAGCGTAGACGCCCAGTTGTTAATTCTCCTGCCTAACTCAACTGAGTTGTTATCGTTCTGAATTAGGGAGGTGGCAACAAGAGGAGATGGAGTGAATTAGTGGTAACACAGTGGTAACTCACCCGGGACTCATAGAGATAACAGAAACTAGCAAAAACAACTCACAAATATATTGTTTATACAGGAATGGTACAAAAGATTCTTATACACTAGACATGTTTGTATTGTGGCTCGACCGGCGTGACACCAAGATCACTTCAGAAATGTCCTCAGCCCGTGAGGACATTTCTGAAGTGATCTTGGTGTGGGTGTGAGACGACTGGAGGATGCGTAGAACCAGGTGGATGCACTGGACTAGATGGACTAGACGGATGCATAGGACTAGGAGGGTTTATAGGCCTGGGGGGATGAACAGTATTGGCTGGGTGTACGTATTGGTTCACAGGACAGATGATTTTTGAAGAACATAGTGTGTATGACGCAGAGACCTGGGTGCCTCTTGGAGGTACATAGATGGGCGGAAGTAAGCCAGTAAGGTTGATGGAAAGGAAGGGCGTCTGAATCACCAGTGGAACGGACACCTGTGGGTCTGGCAAGGCTTCACAATCCATCACAGAAACCAACACAACTATCACACACATCACCAGCACTACCCTGGTGGTGGTGGTCGTTGTCTTGGGGTCGTTGGTGTCGTCTGTTAAGGAGAAGAAAGTAAAATTAATCAAACTTGACTATCATAGTACAGGTATCATCATTTGCATTGCCTCTCTTGTCTCGAGGATTCGTTACATTGTTTTGCCTACTAACTCCTCTATACACGTTGTTACGGAGTACTGTAAAAAAATATTTATACAAAATAACTGAAATATACTGAAAGTGAACATGTATTACTCCCTGTAAGCGAACGCGTTTTACTCCTGTCAGTCAGGAAGTGGCCAGGACAGTAGCAGATGAAAGGTGTCTTTAGTTCAGTACGAATTGGGTGGTGACGGGGGTAAGTCATTATGTTTGGGCGGTAGTTTAATTAGGTAATTTTGGTATTTTTTTTAGTGTATACCAGAGGTATTTGTGTTTAAATGCTCTCATATTTATTTGTAAGGCCCTAGTATGCAGAGGCCTGTTTATACGAGAATACTGTATGGTATTTCGCCTGCTGGTAATTAGTCTACCAGGCAGAAGTCAAGAGGAGCGTGTATATGTCACGGTGCCTCCCAGATGATTTATTCTGTTTAACTCACTAGTAGCTGTGTGGTAGTGAGTTAATGTAAACTATTGAGTGTACTGGTTGTTAGTAGTACTTATCAGTTGTATTTAAGTTACTGCTAATATAGATATGTGTTTGTACAGAAGAGTTTTTATCCTTCCTAACAATAATTAATATTACTCACGAAATCGTAATGACACGATTGTAAACAAACCATACCACGGGTGGGATTTGAACCCGCGGTCAGAGAGTCTCAAAACTCCATGTTAACGGCTTTGAGGGGACTTGAGCTAGAGTTCGTCACGGCCACGTTAGCTGGAGATTCGTCTGTAAAAAGTTGCATTTGTGGTCACAGTGGTGCCTGTGCTAACCTTCCTATGGTGCAGAAATATACCTAGTTGGACGAATCTTATTCTAGCTAGCTGACCCAGTGGCTAACGCGACGGTCTGGAGTTTTGAGACTCTGACCGCGGGTTCAAATCCCGCCCGTGGTATGGTTGGTTAATAATTAATATTATTTAATATATGAGTACATGTTGGCCCAAGGTTCACTGTGTACATATTTCAGTGCAACTTTATACCCCCTAGACAGCAGTGTGAGCAGCACTTACCAGCCACGAATATTTTTAAGTTACGACATTAACGTTGCAACATGTGTATGGGAGCAAACAAACACTGTTTGCCAAGAAAACAAACAACTGGCTATCATTTATAAACAAAGAATATAATCAAAACTGAGAAGAAATTGATATAACAAATAAGGAGAACAAGAACATAATATCAATGTGAATTTTGATTACTGCAAATTATTTGACTAAACCTAATTATCTGTGTTGGAGAGAGATAATACGTATAATTGTATACCAGCATTTGTATGATAGTATACTGTGTTTGTATGATAGTATACTGTGTTTGTATGATAGTATACTGTGTTTGTATGATAGTATACTGTGTTTGTATGATAGTATACAGTGTTTGTATGATAGTATACAGTGTTTGTATGATAGTATACAGTGTTTGTATGATAGTATACAGTGTTTGTATGATAGTATACAGTGTTTGTATGATAGTATACAGTGTATGATAGTATACAGTGTATGATAGTATACAGTTTGTATGATAGTATACAGTGCTTGTATGATAGTATACAGTGATTGTATAATAGTATACAGTGTTTGTATGATAGTATACAGTGCTTGTATGATAGTATACAGTGTTTGTATGATAGTATACTGTGTTTTTATGATAGTATACAGTTTGTATGATAGTATACAGTGCTTGTATGATAGTATACAGTTTGTATGATAGTATACAGTGTTTGTATGATAGTATACAGTGCTTGTATGATAGTATACAGTTTGTATGATAGTATACAGTTTGTATGACAGTATACAGTGTTTGTATGATAGTATACAGTTTGTATGATAGTATACAGTGCTTGTATGATAGTATACAGTTTGTATGATAGTATACAGTGTTTGTATGATAGTATACAGTGTTTGTATGATAGTATACAGTGCTTGTATGATAGTATACAGTTTGTATGATAGTATACAGTGTTTGTATGATAGTATACAGTGTTTGTATGATAGTATACAGTGTTTGTATGATAGTATACAGTGCTTGTATGATAGTATACAGTTTGTATGATAGTATACAGTTTGTATGACAGTATACAGTGTTTGTATGATAGTATACAGTTTGTATGATAGTATACAGTGCTTGTATGATAGTATACAGTTTGTATGATAGTATACAGTGTTTGTATGATAGTATACAGTGTTTGTATGATAGTATACAGTGTATGATAGTATACAGTGTTTGTATGATAGTATACAGTGTATGATAGTATACAGTGTATGATAGTATACAGTGCTTGTATGATAGTATACAGTGTATGATAGTGTACAGTGTATAATAGTATACAGTGTTTGTATGATAGTATACAGTGTTTGTATGATAGTATACAGTGTTTGTATGATAGTATACAGTGTTTGTATGATAGTATACAGTTTGTATGATAGTATACAGTGTTTGTATGATAGTATACAGTGTTTGTATGATAGTATACAGTGTATGATAGTATACAGTGTTTGTATGATAGTATACAGTGTATGATAGTGTACAGTGTATGATAGTATACAGTGTTTGTATGATAGTATACAGTGTTTGTATGATAGTATACAGTGTTTGTATAATAGTATACAGTGTTTGTATGATAGTATACAGTTTGTATGATAGTATACAGTGTTTGTATGATAGTATACAGTGTTTGTATGATAGTATACAGTGTATGATAGTATACAGTGTATGATAGTATACAGTGTTTGTATGATAGTATACAGTGTTTGTATGATAGTATACAGTGTTTTTATAATAGTATACAGTGTTTGTATGATAGTATACAGTGTTTGTATGATAGTATACAGTTTGTATGATAGTATACAGTGTTTGTATGATAGTATACAGTGTATGATAGTATACAGTGTTTGTATGATAGTATACAGTGTATGATAGTGTACAGTGTATGATAGTATACAGTGTTTGCATGATAGTATACAGTGTTTGTATGATAGTATACAGTGTTTGTATGATAGTATACAGTGTTTGTATGATAGTATACAGTGTTTGTATGATAGTATACAGTGTTTGTATGAAAGTATACAGTGTTTGTATGATAGTATACAGTGTTTGTATGATAGTATACAGTGTTTGTATGATAGTATACAGTGCTTGTATGATAGTATACAGTGTTTGTATAATAGTATACAGTGTTTGCATGATAGTATACAGTGTATGATAGTATACAGTGTTTGTATGATAGTATACAGTGCTTGTATGATAGTATACAGTGTTTGTATGATAGTATACAGTGCTTGTATGATAGTATACAGTGAGAATGATAGTACAGTGATAACAGACAGCAGGATGATACTCTACCAGAGATCATGACTGACTGGTGCTGTTGCTGCGTGTATCTGGCGTAGGTTTCCTGCTGTTGCTGCTGCTTCCTGGGTCAGCAGAGGCGTAGCTAGTGCTTGTGTCTGCTGTCTGATCCTTTATATACCTTTCGTCTGCTTAATATACATACGAGGGGCAGGTAGGCCCTCTCTCTCTCTCTCTCTCTCTCTCTCTCTCTCTCTCTCTCTCTCTCTCTCTCTCTCTCTCTCTCTCTCTCTCTCTCTCTCTCTCTCTCTCTCTCTCTCTCTTTATAAACTCTGCTTGAGGTGTCGACACAGCCGTAATGATGTATGTAACACACGATACTGACAGCTTAAGGTGCAAGTCACATGTGCAACACCTGGGTGTCTTTTGATGAATAAGACACATGTACAACACCTGGGTGACTTTATTGATGAATAAGACACATGTATAACACCTGGGTGTCTTTATTGATGAATAAGACACATGTACAACACTGGGTGTCTTTATTGATGAATAAGACACATGTACAACACCTGGTGTCTTTATTGATGAATAAGACACATGTACAACACCTGGGTGTCTTTATTGATGAATAAGACACATGTACAACACCTGGGTGTCTTTATTGATGAATAAGACACATGTACAACACCTGGGTGTCTTTATTGATGAATAAGACCACATGTACAACACCTGGGTGTCTTTATTGATGAATAAGACACATGTACAACACCTGGGTGACTTTATTGATGAATAAGACACATGTACAAACCTGGGTGTCTTTATTGATGAATAAGACACATGTACAACACCTGGGTGTCTTTTATTGATGAATAAGACACATGTACAACACCTGGGTGTCTTTATTGATGAATAAGACACATGTACAACACCTGGGTGTCTTTATTGATGAATAAGACACATGTACAACACCTGGGTGACTTATTGATGAATAAGACACATGTACAACACCTGGGTGACTTTATTGATGAATAAGACACATGTACAACACCTGGGTGACTTTATTGATGAATAAGACACATGTACAACACCTGGGTGACTTTATTGATGAATAAGACACATGTACAACACCTGGGTGACTTTATTGATGAATAAGACACATGTACAACACCTGGGTGTCTTTATTGATGAATAAGACACATGTACAACACCTGGGTGACTTTATTGATGAATAAGACACATGTACAACACCTGGGTGACTTTATTGATGAATAAGACACATGTACAACACCTGGGTGACTTTATGATGAATAAGACACATGTACAACACCTGGGTGACTTTATTGATGAATAAGACACATGTACAACACCTGGGTGACTTTATTGATGAATAAGACACATGTACAACACCTGGGTGACTTTATTGATGAATAAGACACATGTATAACACCTGGCCAGCATTATCTAAATCATGCTTGGCTATCCAGTAACTCTTATTTTCAATTAAATACAGAGATTATACAAGGAGAGCAGTGTAATGCTGAGGTAATGAGTCCCTCAGTCCTGATGAATGCACAAGAAGGAAGATGAACACGTGTGTACTAAGGTCAGCTATGAGTTGCAGCTGCTGACTCAGCAACATTATGCAATCTTCCAACAAAAGGTATCTCCTGCAACGACCTCTCTACTGACCTCTGGTTCAAGTCTAGGGCATGACCTACTTCCACTAGTGCCGCTGCCCACCTGTGATGCTTTCTGCAACTGCTGCACTTGGTCTGACTTCATTACTGTAAGGTCCATCTTTCTGTCCATGCTTCAGATTCATCAAGACTAACGAACTGAACTACACCGTTTTTAAGACGAGTGTGACGAGTGGGGTTCCGCAAGGGTCAATACTGGGACCAGTTTTTTTTTAATTTGTACGTAAGATTTGAGAAGATAAAACAGTCAAAGGTGTGACTGTTGGCAGATGATGCTAAACTAAAGAGGAGAATGCAGAGGAGACCAGGAGAGAGTTCAAATAGATCTTCACAAACTATGGCTGTTAGAGTTTAATCTCAGAAAATGCAAAGCTATGAAGATTATGAAAGGGCAAAGAAACACAGAAATAGAGTGCATGTTTAGGGAAGAAAGAAGGATCTCGGGGTGAGCATACTTCTGAGCATATCACCTGACGGACACATCAGTTAAATAACTGCTGCTGCAGACATGAGCCTGGCACATTCAATGATAAATTTAGAAGTCATTTACGACCTCTGTTAGGTCCAGCCTCGAGTATGCAGCACCAGTATGCAACCCAAGAAGTTGGAAAAAAGTTAAATGTTTGTAACGAAACCAAACCTGGTGTCATACGAACGTCATTGGAATGTTAGGAACTACTTCTTCAGCCATTGAGTTGTCAGGAAGAGGATCGACCTAGAGAGATAACTGGTAGAGGCAGTTTCTATATGCAGTTGTAGGAAGAGGTATAAAAGGGATCTCTAATAAGAGATGGGTCCAGGAGCTGTGAATCGACCCCTAAAACAACAAATAAGTTGATAAATTAGAAACGTGTGCAACACTAGGTTATCTATACTGAGGAAACGTTTCCCCACACAGTGGTTTCATCAGTCCATACAAAGAAGAACGGTGTAGACCAGAAGGAGTTTGAGGTAATCAGTCCCTCAGCCTGGAGTTGATATAATCAGTCCATCAATCATAAAAAGAATACAGCATATGTGCCTAGAAGTGACTGATATACTGTAGACAGGTGAGGTGAAGACATGACCTATTTCTACACTTGGGTTGGTCAAGTGTGATACCATCTAGAACTGCTGCACCTCACCTGTCTACAGTATATCAGTCACTTCTAGGCACATATACTGTATTTTTTTTATGATTGATGGACTGTTTAGGGTCAACTCCGGCTGGGGGGATTTATTACCTCAAATTTCCTTCTGGCCCTTCACCGTTCTTCTTTGTATGGACTGATAAAACCACTTTTTGGGGGGGAAACTTTTTCCTCAGTAAAGAAAACCCAAAAGGGTTGTCCCATGTGTCAATTTTTGAGAGGTGAGGGCCACAAACAACCACACCCCCACACCACACCCCCACACACACCCCACACACACACACCACACACACACACACAAAAACACCACACACACACACCACACACAAAACACACCCAAACAACACACCCCACAAAAACAAAACCACCACACACAAACACACACAAAACACCCCCACACACCCACACACAAAACACCCACACACACACACACACAAAAACACACACACAAACATTACACACAAACACAAAAAACACACAAAACACACCAAAACACACACACACACACACAACACACAAAAAACACACACACACACACACCACACACACAAAACACACACACACCCACCAAAAACACACCCAAAAACTTTACAACACACACACAACACACCCACACAAAACCCCACCACACACAACACACACACACACAAACACCACAAAAACACACACAAACTTTACACACCACACAAACAAAACACACAAAAAACACACAAAACCCACACACACACAACACAATGAGCAAAGTTAATGAGAAAATAAACGGACGGGGAAATCAGGCAGGACTAAAAAGGAGCCCCGGACAGGCTACAAGCCGGGGTCCAGAAAATTTGGCCCTTAAATTTTAAAACCCTGCCAAATGAAAAAGTCAAAAAATGGGGAAGGGAAAAAAAGACCGGACAACAATAAAATTTGTTTGGGCCAAAGACTGAAAAACCTCACTAAAGGGAAAAAGATCTGGATGAGTTATAACACCGAGCATATCTCCTGGGGCGCACATCAATCAAAAAATGTGCAGCATAGGGGCCCCGGGCCCCAAACCCCCGGATAGCTTTCCAAAACCCTTCATAAGGATTCTTTTTAAGACTCGGGTATACCATCAAAGTCGGCCCATACGGATATGCAGCCCCTTTTTTGGAAACCAAACCTATTCAAGCACTCAAGAAATTAGAGAAAGTGAAAAGGTTTGCAACAAAAACTGCCCCGAGCTACGGGGATTGTCCTACGAAAAAAGGGTTGGGGGAAATCGGCCTGACGACACGGGAGGACAGGAGGGTCGGGGAGACATGATAACGACATAAAAAAAATACTGCGGGGAAATTAGACAAGTGGAAAAAGAGGGGGATTTTTCCAGAGATGGGACACGACACAAGAGGTCACAATTGGAATTTTGAAGACTCAGATAAATAAAAGGGATATTGGGAAATGTATTTCTTCAGTCAAAGGTGGTCGGGCCGGGGGAATACCCTGGGAAAAGGGGACGTGTGGGGGCGGGGAACCTACATATTTTAAAGGCAGGTATGATAAACCCAAAGGGGCAGGAGAGAGAGGGCCCTAGTAGCAATCAGCGAAGAGGGGGGGCCAGGAGCGTGACTCGACCCCTCCCAACCACAAATAGGTGGAAAAAAGGTGAGCCCACACATACACACACACAAAAACACACGCACACACACAAAAACACACACACACACAAAAACCACACCCACACAACACACACCCCACACACACCACACACACACAAAACACTGAAGTTTGTATGCAAAATCAGGGAGAAGATTTTCAGGAGAAGAGTGGGGGAATACCTAGAAAAGGAACGATCCCTCAACAGAAAGCCAATTGGTTTCAGGGACGGGAAATCCTGTGTCACAAACCTACGGGAGTTCTATGACTTTGGGACAGCAGAAAGACAAGAGAGAGAGGGGGGGGGTGGTTTTGCATTTTCTTGGACGCAAAAAGGGTTTTTTTACACAGTTCCAAAACAAAGATTGGTGCAAAAATTGGAAAACCAAAAGCGGGGATAACGGGGAAGGCCTAAAAAGGAAACCAGGGAATCTTGTCAGGAAGACAGCAGCGAGTAAAGGTACGTGACGGGTGTCGGGAGGGGGCACCTGTGCCCACGGGCCCCCAGGGGTCAGTCCTAGGACCAGTGGGTGTTTCGGTTTTTTGTGAGTGACATGTGAATGGGCGGGAAAGGGGTAGATCTGAGGTGTCCCCCGTTTTCAGAAAAGACCCTGAAGTTATGAGAAAAAGAAATTTACTCGGGTCGAAGACCCGGCAGGGAAATACCCAAAGGGGGGTCTGGGCAGGGTGCAGACCTGTTTCCCGCAAAAAGGC